CAGCAGGAAAAGAGACAACACTCTACAAAATAGAATTGGAAGCTTATTTAAAAGGGACAGTATCATTATTCTTAAAAATATACTAACCAGAACTGTCTTCCTGAGGCATCATCAATGGCAGCTTGTACCCTAAACTGGTATATTTAAAGCCCTTATTATATTCTTTTTATTGAGATCTAGCTGCAAACATCCTCATTTTGTGAGGCCAAGTCAGAGTGTACATATGACTAGTTCACCGCTATTTTCAACTTAGACAAGCTCAACGACGGTTTTTGCTCACTTACTCTGGAGATGGTCAAGGGCATGTTGAAGTCCTTGCCCCCTTGCAGTCGGAAACCCCATGGTCCAGGTCCATTCAGAGTCACGCTGTAAGCCATTTTGTACCTCTTTCACAAGTCAACCAGAAGACACAGGAGAACAGAAGGATGGGCTAGACAGAGAAAGCATGAAAAAACAGAATGAAAAAAGGGAAGAGTTTTATATAACGAAAGCAATTCTCTTTCTGCCTTGCCTGTTCAGTCGTGCCGGGATATCACCTAAGAATAGATGGGAGCTATAATGCAGATGCTGATATCCCAGCTGAGTAGGGCCCATAAAAGGTTTGTAACCAGACACCTACTATGCAAAGACTTCATGACTCAGAGGTCTAATATAGCCCCCAGGGAAGGGGACAGATCTTTCTAGGCTTCTCAAGCCCCTCTTCATGCGCAGTTACTTTGTGGGCAAAACACATTTTGTAATAAAACAAGCAAACAAAATCCCACGCTAAAATCCTAACCTGTTAACAACTACATAGCCATTCGCAACTTCTGCTTCAGAACATACGTTTATTGCACTATGATATATAATGTACTACAAACAAGTTCTTTTTACATAGATTTTTCCATATGTAGCAGGAAAGGCACTAAAAAAAGTGTTTACCTTCTTTTGCATTGGTTTGTTAAACTGAAAAAAAGTGTATACTACATGCATTTAGCATCACAAAAAAGCCCCACAACTTCAGGTTTGGCTCCTGGTTCCATAGCCCTTGCTTTCTCCAGGGAAAATTAAAATTTATTCTCTTTGAATGCAGATAGAAGTATTATGGGTTATTTCTAATCAGCCTTTAATTTTCCTGGCAACAGCACAGTTTCACTACATACCTGTCTCATTATTTCAATACAAGTCTTCTACAGGCACGACAGTTAAGTGGAAGGCTAAGAACACAAATAGCTAGCTAACTACTTCCTTAATTCATTCCTTGATTTTTCGTAGTTTATATTCCAGTTGTTAGGTGTTCCATAAAACTTGATAACCCTTGTTCAGTAGTGCTGGATAGCATTTCTGCCTTAGATTGGGAATAGCTTAAATACAGAGAACAAGAAGGAAGGGGAGAAGCTGTTGGCAGAACTACAGATATAAACAAAAAGCTTCTGCTCTCAGGATAAAGCTACAAACATTAAATATCGCTCACCCCTTTCAAGTCATTAATCTGTGCAGGACCTCCAAAACCCCTCCACTGTATCTCCACAGCATCCCTGCCTTTACCCTCCAGTTACAAAGAAATTCCCATTACATTAAGGAGGAGTGAGGGGAAAGCATGGGTTTTACTCTGATAATCAAAGACAACCAAAACCACATAATGCACTACAGTGAAGTAGCTTAGTGTGAATGCTGATAATAGGTCACCCTGCTCATGCATCTACCTTAAAATGCAACAGAAAAACCGATGGTGAAACAGCAGAGAGCAAATGCTACCAGGGCCTCCGCCTTTATCTGAGGAGATGGTCAATAATTTTTCAAAACCATGAGACAATAGGAGCGTTTGTTTTGCGTATCCACAGTGGCAAAAAAGTCATTTGTACAAGGGAATAATTATGCTCTACATAGACACTAGACTAAACCACATAACCGTATTTTTCAGTCAGAGGTCCAAATTAAACCACAGCAGTTCACAGAGATTTGAGTGAAAGTTGCCCTCAGAGAGTAGAACTGGCCCAAATCAAAATCAGTGCAGATCGCAACACACAGCTTGAAAAGAAAATGGGTTTCTGATGTCTCACAAATGCCTCAAGGGCACATTTACATTAACAGCCTTTGGAACTGCCCTATATGAGGCCACAGCCGGTGATGTTTGGATGATTACTTTGAGGGGAGACAAAACTAACTTGTTGCACTTCAGACAGTAGAGGTTTTAGGCTTGCCAGTTTATCCAGTAGGTCTCTTTATAAATGCTGGTACTGGATTTATTTATTTATTTTTAAAAATGCACACACAAAAGATTGAAGGTAAATTCCTATTACACTATACCTTTCCTTTTCCTAGGAATTCACTGTTGGTTATAGTGCCCTTCCTTGGCTCCATTTCAAGAGTTCAGGAGAATGGAATAAAAACAGGAGTAAGATAAACATGGCAAGTCATTGCTTCACTAGTAAAGATAGTATCAGAGAAAAAAAAGTATTAGAAGAGAAGTTACATTTTTATGGACTGTGAATTCTGTGCATGTTACCTTCCTATACTTACATCTTCAGTAATGTGTGTTTAAAATTAAAAAAAAAAAAAGAAAAAAAAAAAGGCAGGGGGCAAAACCCAGAACAGACTATAACTGCACAGACATCAAGCTGAGCAGAGCTAAGCATTAAGAAAAAGGGATGCTGCTTAATCAAACACTATGTACTTCTATCCTACTTTCACATGTGTAACATGCCATTTGCTTATCAGTTTAGGACAACTGAAAGGGCCTGTGAGATCCTTCAGGCTGGGTGGTGTGCTAGGAAACTAGAGTGGTAATCTCATTAAGGGCACTGTCATTTGAATGAAATGTTAAACTGAGGTCACTTGTTCCTACTCCTTTGATTTCTGCCTGTGTCTGCATGAATGTTCAGCATAGCTTGGCACTTTTAAAAAGAAAGTGTAGAGGATATGCCAGTGTCCTGGCCAACATTCCCTTTCAACACTACAGGACCACAGCTCTTTCATGCACCTGTGCTATCACTACCAGGTGCATTTTGGAGTAAAAATATTCCACAGTTTTCTTTCTCCCAGATTAAGTCTTTTCTCTCCTGTGTTTGTTTCCCCCCTGCCCGCCTGGAGAAGGCTCTGTGCCTGATAATGAAGCGCAAAAGGTAAAGAAGCTCATGCTGTAGTCATAGCTTCATTTTTTGGGACACTCAGCACAGGTCTCACTTGTCTTCTACAGACTTTTAATACAAGCAGCCTCTAAATAAGAAAGCTGGTGACCCACCCAGATGACTATTTGAACTCTAGCCTGTTTTCAAAGTGAGAGACACAGGTGTTCTCACCATGTCAAACATCTGGAGCAAACCCAGGAACTGGATTGGTGCAGCAGGTACAGTGCTGTCACTGCTACCAGCACAAATCCCAGCAAAACCTTCTGAGAAACCTGAGGATGAAATAAACTGCGCGTACATAATAGACAATCCCGTTGTTTTCAGAAGCTTGTGATGTTTAGATTAGGTTCTAGCTGCTTTACGTAACTTCCTGTTAGATTGTTCCAAAAAATCATTTTTTGTTTGCTCAAATAACAGTATTTTGTTTCTCTTGGTGTTCCTTCTTCCCTACATTCTCCAGCTATGTCAAAAATCTATGATTTGCTTACAGTTCCATCCCTTCAGACAGAAGCTATGCTGAGTCAGATGAGGTCACTGGTGTAAGGAGGGACATTTAAAGAAAAAAAACATATTCCAGGAGCAGGGTGACATTTTCTCTAGAGAGATCAAACAAGAGAATTGTCCAGAGCTCACCAGGTGCCTCCAGAGCTGTCCCCAGCTGACTGATGGGAACAGTTGTGAGGAAGCTGGATGGGTACCAGGCTCTGTGGGCTCTGCAGCGGAGGGGAGTGCTGCCACCTCCAGCAAATGCCTGGGAGCCCGAGCAGAGCCCTGCTCCCACAACTCCGTCAGAGGAATTACGCTAGCGGAAACAATTCACCTATGCTAGGAGACGATGTTGTAGTACAGTGAACTGACTTTAGGAAAGCTACAACCACATGCTTGGGAGTGCATAGTCATTAAGTGTCAACGTTAAATTAAGATGGAAGGAAACAAGTAATGGAAATTCCAATTGTTCAAGTTGCTACTACTTCATTAAGCTGGCCACATTACTCATCGGTTATATTTTAGCTGCAGTGATAGATGTGCTCATAGAAGAGCCTTGAATTACTGTTACTGCAGCAACAAGGTTGCCTCATTAAGCATTTCAGAAGTAGATAGCTCGAAAGTTTGGCTTCTGATCTGCAATAGACTATGCATGTTTGGCGTATAAAAGACACATGCAAGGTCATGGTTTCAACAACCTTTTGCGTTTTTCTTTCGGCAAGTGAAAGACTTGCCCAATAGAGGAATAAACTATCATTTCTTCTTTGACTAAAAGATCTCCAACAAGCTGGATAGACATTCCTTTAAAAAAAAAAAAAAAGAATCAGACACAAATACTGGCTGCCTTTGTTTCAGTCTCCCTCATCTGAGGGAGTGGTAGTACGAGTACGCAGCTTTATGACAAACATGGATTCCTGCACTGTCCCCAGTAAGATTATCTATACTCTTTCAGAGAGAGCGGAAAGGCGAGGAAGATGGATCAGGAGTGTGTGAAGAAACTATTCACCTAGATGCATGCATGAAGAAAACCCAAGCTTTGAACCAGATGTCTCATATAAGCAATTGTAGAGTTTTCCAAAATTTTGAATTAACCCAACGTTAATTATATTCCATGTGGAATAATGAGGAAACAACAGCTGTGTTTGGGGACTGATCTTCATTGCAATCCACAGCACAAAATAGCACATACTTACTATATGGTAGCTAATCAGTGCTAAAGAATTTGAAACAGACACATTAGAGATGTAAAAGCTTTCTAGCTCTGAATTCCTACCTTGCCAACGTCAAATTGAATATAAAAGTAATTACCAGAGCCAAGATTTTCCCACAAGTTCAGCACAAGTTCAATATCACTTCCAAAGCAAGCCTATTCTACAATGCAAAAGAGCTCATTGCTGTCTCCTTTCCTTCACTGCTGAGCTCTGAACTAAGTTGAGCTAATCCTACTTGTACTTCCACACACAGTTTTGTTTCACCCATTTAATCAAAATCCTTCAATTCTCATAGAACTTTGTATTTCTGAGTTCCTCATAGTCCCTTTTTTCAAGTTGTCCCTAAGTCTGGTATTTTGATCTTTCTTAAGCAGCTAAATTTTCTATCACACTTGGTTTCACCAAATTCTGCTTTGTCTATACCTTTCTAGTAATGTGGTTTGTGGGTCCCAACAGAATATAGTGTTGCTGGGGAGATATGCTAGAGCAATATAATGATGGAATATTATCTCCCTTCTCCATAATACAATGCCTTCGGAAACGCAGCTCAGACTGCTTCCTGTTTGGCAGTTTGCTGCTGCCAGTATCAACTTACCAATTAATC